ACTTTAACTACTAGTCATTATCAAATGATATTTAATTAATTTTAGATATATGGGCAACTATAATCAATAATTTATTTTATCTTCATTTATTATTTAAAAAAAAATTAAAAAAAAAAAAATCTACTTCTCCTAAAACAACTTTTTTGATTTTCCATCTCATTACAAGATAAAATTATCTCAAAAATATCTGTATCTAACTTTTTTCATCTTTAGTGTTAGGAGGCGTGGGAGGTCCTTTCGGACTCGTCCAGTGGTGTTAGATGAGTGCGGATGGATTAGGTGTGGGATGGACCACGGCTCTCTCGGTCATGGATGGGTCGATTTGGGGATTGGTTCGGGTTAGATTTCTACTACTGTATAGGCTTGATTGCAGTTTCGGTAGCAGACTCCTGGCCGGATTTGTCTTGTGTCGATCGTTCACTGCTGGTTTGTGCTAGCTCGTTCGTCGGGGAAGGGTTGTTAGTTTTTTAGTTTTTTATGTTGTTTTTGTTCTGTGTTTCGTCGTATTTGTGTCTGTGTTGTTCTTGTCTTTTAGGTTTGGGCCATTTGGCCTCTGTGCGTCCGAGTGTCACCTTTATTACCCTGTTGGGGTCCGACACTAGGTATTATCCTGTTGGGGTCTTTGTATTGTTTGTTGTGTTTTGTAGTGTTGTTATTAATCCTTTGGGGTCGTGGTCGAGTAGTTGGTCTGTTTAGTGCGAGTTTTTATTCTAGCGTTGCTAGCGGGTCTCTAGACGGGCTTCTGACCTGTCCTCCCACTTTTTCAGCTGTTGGCTACTGTGTATTCAGCCGTTGGCTGCTGTATTTCGCACCTTTGTGCATTTTGATTTATAAAACTATCTATCGTTTCGGGAAAAAACAAAGTGTTATATTCATGTCTACATGCTAGCAACAATAGATTTAAGCATGGTCAAGACGAAAAAAACGACAATTCATTTATGGTCTTCAATATATATGTTCTAAGGTAGATGGAATTTTCTAAGAGTAGATAAATGAAATTTTTGTTAGATTTTGATTAATTGTTGTCCCACATTGGATGTATACCAAAGATGTGTAGGATCTTATTAGTATAAATAGGTCCATTGCCTTTGGGTTACAATTGCACCTTATTCTATTCTCTCCTCTCTTGGTATGAAATCTTTATTTAAGGAAATCCTAATTTGTGGGTTATTTAACCCTAGTTGTATTTTGTTGGTGAGTTTAGTAAATTTGGCGTTGCGGTTGGCGGTGCCCGGAGACGTAGGCTATTTTCGCCAAACTCTGTTATCAATTTTTGTGTCCTTTTTATTTCTTGTCTTTTATTTATTTGTGTTGGCTTATTTTCGTTTGGAGTAATGCTTGCCATATTTGTTGGAGGGGTATTTTTGTCCGCCGCGTTTGGTGTTCAACCCCAACAAGTGGTATCAGAACCAGGTTCGCCCTAGGGTTATTCGAAGAGGCGAGCACTGCATTCGGGTTCGAGATGTCCAAGGAGGTCAAGGGCGCATCATCCTCTGCATTCATTCCGGCAAAGACGGTGATGCCGAACGTCAGACTCCCGGTGGAGATCTTCGATGGGACCGGGCATTTCGGCATGTGGCAAAGGCGAGGTGCTGGATTTTCTATTTCAGCAAGGCGTCGACATTGCAATTGAAGAAGAGAAGCCAACCGACATTGAAGAGAAGGATTGGAAGAATATCAACCGCTTAGCATGTGGAACAATTCGTTCGTGTTTGTCGAGGGAGCAGAAGTATGCATTCAAGAATGAGAATTCTGCTCACACTTTGTGGAAGGCTTTGGAGGATAAATTTCTGAAGAAAAGCGGCCAGAATAAGCTTCTCATGAAGAAGCGATTGTTCCGATTTGAGTACCGGCATGGCACATCGATGAATGACCACGCCACTGCATTCAATCAGTTGGTTGCAGATTTGTTGAATTTGGACGTCACATTCAACGATGAAGATTTGACTCTAATGTTGTTATCATCACTTCCGGATGACTTCGAGCACTTGGAGACAACTCTGCTCCATGGGAAGGACGAAGTACCTCTTGCGGTGGTCAGTTCTGCTCTGTATAGCTACGAGTTGAGGAAGAAGAACAAACAAGAGACGAAGAATGCAGTAGCAGAAGATGAAACGTTGATTGCAAGAGGTCGGTCGAAGAGCCAAAAGAAGAATGGACGAGGAAGATCACGTTCCAAGGCCAACCTTGAAAAAGACGAGTGTGCTTTCTGCCATGAGAAGGGACACTGGAAGAAGGACTGTCCTAAGTTGAAGAAGAAAGACAAATCTCCTCAAGATGCATATGTTGCTGAGGGTGGAAGTGAAGACTCAGAATTTTCACTTGTGGTTTCACCTTCATCATCTCATCCAGACGAATGGATTTTGGATTCAGGATGCACCTACCATATGTCTCCCATAAGGGAGTGGTTCTTCAATTTTCAAGAGATCAATGGAGGGGTTGTCTACATGGGTAATGATAATGCTTGTAAGACAACCGGAAAAGGTTCAATCCGTTTGAAGAATCGCTATGGTTCCACCAGAGTTTTGACGGATGTTCGGTACGTGCCGAGTTTGAAGAAAAACCTCATCTCATTAGGAGCCTTGGAATCCAAAGGCTTGGTAGTGACTTTGCGAGATGGAGTTATGAAGGCTACATCCAGCTTGCTCGTGGTGATAAAAGGCATCAGGAGGAATAATTTGTATTACTATGAAGGTGATACAGTCGTTGGGACAACAACAGTAGCAGATTCTACCAACAAGGAGTCTGAAGCAGTCAAGTTGTGGCATATGCGGTTAGGACATGCTGGTAAAAAATCCTTGCAGACATTGGCAAAACAAGGATTATTGAAAGATGTCAAAGTGTGCAAATAGACTTTTGTGAGCATTTTGTTCGGGGAAAGCAGAAGAGACTTTTGTGAGCATTGTCTTGGATTATGTTCATTCGGATGTTTGGGGACCTTCTAAGACCCCATCATTAGGCGGAAGACGCTATTTTGTCACTTTCATCGATGACTTTTCCAGACGCGTTTGGGTGTACACTATGAAAACGAAGGATGAAGTGCTTGGTGTCTTCATTACATGGAAGACCCAAATTGAAAATCATACTGGAAGGAAGATCAAGGTCCTACGAACGGACAATGGTGGAGAATATACAAGTGATCCCTTTCAAGAAGTTTGCCGTGAAAATGGCATTGTTAGGCACTTCACCGTCAGACGGACACCACAACAAAATGGGGTGGCGGAGCGCATGAATCGAACATTGGTGGAGAAAGTTCGATGTATGTTGTCCAATGCTGGTTTGGGCAAGGAGTACTGGGCTGAGGCTGTAACATACGCGCAGCACCTCATAAATCGATTGCAGTCATCTGCAAAAGATGGTAAAACACCGTTGGAGGTATGGTCGGGGAAACATGTGGCTGACTATGGATCTTTACATGTCTTTGGGTGTCCTACGTACTATCATGTGAAGAATTCAAAGTTAGATCCAAGAGCGAGAAAAGCTTTGTTCATGGGAATCACAATTGGCGTGAAGGGATATCGTCTTTTGTGTCTTGAGACGAACAAAACTGTGTTCAGCAGGGATGTTACATTTGATGAACAAAGTATGATAAAGACGACACAAACCCAACAGGT